GAGAGGGAAGAAAGGCACTGCACCAATGTAACACAGAGCATGGGACCCAGGCCTAAAAGCTGAGATAACACTTGTCAGTAAAGAATCAGTGACTTTTTTTTTCATATCTGTCTCTTTGTATAACTACATACCCCTTGTAAGCAGAGATAAACCACCAGATGTACCAATCTACTTTTCTGTACTGCATTTATCTTATCAGTATACAGTATCTGACATGCATATTTTAACTACATTCCTTTGAAACACTCTCTGGGGGAATAAAGGCTTTTAGATAAGTACATAGGAAACTAGTACAAAAATACAAAAAAGATTAACTATAGCACAGTTCCTTACTACATCGGGGCTTTTCAAAACTTTTTTTGTTTATTAAATTCTGATTTTAAGATAATAAATAAAGGAAAAGAAAAAAACTATTCACATTCATTACACCAAAAAAAGACTGAGTAATAGAAATTACTGAAAAAGCTTCTATTTTCTCATGGGTGTTCAACAAATCCAAAACCTAACAGCAGATTTAGGACTTATATTCTTATCATATTTTCTCAAGGACAGCATGGGTTAACATCATGAAGTCAGTGAGGCTACAGTAACACCGAAGTGGTGCAAATGAAAAGTAAGGTTGCTCTATGCACATGGGCTCAAAGCAATTTATCTCAGCCACCCCTTTATTATCTGATCTAAAAATTATGTCAAATCCTGCAGCTATTGTTTAGTCTTTATCAGATGTATCTTCCAGTGGGTTTAGCTCTACTTTTGGTTACACAGGCTCAGATCTCACTCATTGTTTTAACAGGGATTTTTCCCTGTTAGGTTTTATCTGCTTAATTACATCAGTCCTGTTACAGAAAATTCACACTAAAACTTTATATTCGGCTTGGTTTTTTTACAGCTGAAGGTAAAGCTGCCCAATCCCCCTCCTTCCTCCCTCCCTCTAAAACAGTAACATCTTTTAACTGAGCAGAAAAACTGTATCAAAACATATTAGTGACTCACTAGTGCTCCTGATAGGATGTACCTAGAATAAACAAGAAATGTGTGAATAAATAGTAAATGTGTTTTAGCACTTTCCTTGGCCAATATTTCATAAAATTTATTATATCTTTCCAGCTTCACCAAGATACATACATTAGGTGTCCCTACTTTGTTGGGCACTGAGATATCTAAAACGGCAAAGTGAAAATTAATCTGAACAAATCTGCTAGCCTAAGAGGATGAAATGCTCAGCTCTGCTCTCGTGGGGAGACCAACACCCCGGGAAGATGGATTCCATGAAACAGGAAAAATGTTCCTTATCAGAAACAGCCTGCACAGAAGGGAGTAATTTCCCAACATACTCGTGATCCAGGAGTGCAACAGTGATTTGCTGCTAAATGCCCTGAAGACTTAGGGAAGCTGGGATGTTGTCTTTAGACTCAGACTCTTTCTCTGTTTATATTGCTAGCATGGGCAGCCTTTGAAAAGCATCAGCATCTTTACTCCATATTTATAGATTACTCCTTTCCTGAATAACTGAAGCTCTTGGTCAGAGCAATGTTGCAATTGATTTTCGCCAAGAACTTTCATTGACTAGATTGTTATGTACTTTCTGACACATGCCTGACCCTGCATTAAACAAACACAAGCCACTTTTCCAGGATGCACATTTTTCACACTTTCAAATTACTTTTCAGTTAATTCTATTACACGCTCAGTGAACAGTGATGCTGGATGCTATTTTTTTGTTTGTTTGTTTTAATGGAGTGCAGCTCCAGCCCTTGAGAGGACGCAATAATTCCAGAATAAGACATAAGGGCATAAGAGAGAAAAGATAAAAAGAGGAGGAGAAGGAGATGAATAGGGAGAGGGAGAGAGAAAAGGAGAGGGAGGAGAGAAGCTTTTCTTAATGTGCTAAGTATGGCTAGTTATGCTACAGTTGTACCCGTAGAGACGAAATCACCAGGTTCAGGTATTAAGATAAATAATACCACTTAAGCAGAGCACTTTACATGCTCCATTTACCCCTCACCTTTCCTAAGGGTGTCAGTGTTCACTTCTGTGCCAATTAAAAGGGAACATTGCATTGGTGACAAACAAGCAGCTATAGCTGCACAGTGATCTGGAGAGATGGACTCTTCTGCCCCTCTTAAGTTTTGGACATCCTTGATTTGCTGGATTAATAAATACTGCATGGACCCTACATTGCATCCCAGCCCCATGACACATTGTGTAACCATCAGAACACTTACCAGCTCTGTTGAAAGTTTATCACAAAACAGCTGTTATAATGCCAGTACAGATTCAGTCCTAAGAAGTCAAAGTTGTGAATACAGATGAGTATTGGTGTATCTGAGTCCAGAGTTTAAAACGGTGATCTTGTAGACCAAATGACACCACGAAGTAAGGTATATTCCCCACATCATCTGTCTGACTTTCTAAAAAATAGTTGTCAGTTATCTGAGAAATTTATTGAAATCTGTGCAATTGGAAATGGACAATTTTGCAGTGATTGTGCTTTTGCTGCTGGTTTAAAATCTGCAGATTGAAGGTCTAATACTTCAACCCTTAATCCCAAGGAGCCTAAGTGATTTGCCTGTGTCACAGCTGTCCAAGAACCCCAAACTGAGGAACAAGAGGTTAAAAAAAACTTCAGTAAAATACAAAGTCACATTTGAGTTACACGCCTATAAAACTCCCTAGTATTTATTTAATTAGATTTTTCTAAAAAAAAAAAAAAGAGCCACCAAGACTAGAAAAATTACTGATTTTTCCTCTATTTCCAAAATATACTAAGAAAAATAAACAAACTCTCTACTATGAGCAACTTCACTAGAAATGTGGACACCTGAGAAGAAATGTCAATTGATATAAAATAGCATTCACATAATTATTATGTGTTATATAGAAATTAGGTGCATAGTTTTGGCAGCACACGAAAGTAACTTAAATATCAAGTAAAATGCACTCAAATATATATAAAATACTTCCAAACTGTGTTAATTTAATGGCCTTCTGTCAAGGGCTACCTGGCAGGACATGAAAATCTAATAAAAAGAGTCAATTTAAGAGCAATAATCTAAAAAACCTGTTCAAACATTGCTAAGCCCCTCTGAAGTGCTGACTGCTTAGAAGAAAAAAAAACTGAAATAACTCTCTTTTGTTTCAGTACAAAACAAAAGAAAATCCTCAAAGTTTTGAAAAGTTTCCTGCCATGAGACAGCACTATGAACACATGTAATGAATGGCATTTCTACTTTTGCAGGAAGACAATAATTTTAATTCCCCTTAACCCCAGGGAATTGTTCTTTGAGGTGTAGTCCTGTACTCAAAAGTACATGTCCCTATTTCCAGTCAGTTACTTTGACTAAAAGCATTCAAAAATGTGTATTTAAATGGAAACTCCGAGATTTGTATCTGGATGTTTACATAGAAGGTATCTCCTCTTTGAGGATTTAACCATGTAGTACTTTCTCAAGAACAAAAGGAGAATTAAGCTCTAAATGGAGAGTTTTAAATGACAAACAGTCCTTCCTTTAATGTGTCTGTGAAAAGCTTTATTTGGTTGGAAGAATTCTCTTATACCATTTTAAGTTGCTAGGCACAGTGCAGGAAATATAAGTATGCTGCAAATCCAGCTTCTAATGACCTTTTCTCACAAAAAGTGTTTTTGCTGAGGTGAAAACGGTGGAAGAGAGACAATTCCAGATGATATATTTTGTTCCTATTATACAGAACAGTATTTAATCATGTGAAAGAGAAATGGGAGTCCCCAGTGTGACTACTCTATTACAAAGAAAATCATCTCTTTGAAAATTAATGAACATTAAATATTTGTACAGTCAAATGAAGATCTGTTTTCAGGGAACTGGTTGCCCTGTGTTCTTGGGGTCTAAGCTGGGACTGGTTCCAAATAAATACCGAGGTTAGTAGCCATGAATAACAATGACGAAATATTAGGGGTGAGATAATCACTTTCAAACTCATATTGCCAATCTGATCATATGATATGCTAAACACACACTTTTTTCTTTCTAAAGGAACAGCAGTTTTATTATATGGCTACAGTGATATATAAATTCAGCTTTACAGAAAGGAACCTGGGTGTTCTGGAGGACACCAAGTTGACTGTGTGTCAACAATGTGCTCTTATGGCAAATAAGGCTAATGGTAGCCTGCGCTGCATTAGAGAAAAAGTATTGACAACAGGTTGAGGGAGGTGATCCTTCCCCTCTGCTAAGCGCTGGTGAGGTCAAACCTGGAGTGCTGGGTCCAGTTCTGGGCTCCCCAGTACAAGAGAGACATAGACACACAGGAGCAGTCCAGCAAAGGGCCTCCAAGATGACAAGCACCTCTCCTACAAGAAAAAGCTGAGAAAGCTGGGACTGTGCAGCCTGGAGAAGAGAAGGCTCAGGGGATCCCATCCATGTGTACAAACACCAGATGAGGGGGTGCAACAAGGACATAGTCAGGCTCTTTTCAGTGGTGCCCAGTGATGGGACTAGAAGCAACGGGAACAAGATGAAACACAGAAAGTTCATTCTGAACATCAAGGAATATTTTTTCATTGTAAGGGTGACAGAGCAGTGGCATAGGTTGCTCAGAGAGGTGGTAAGGTCTCTTTTGTTGGACATACTCAAAAGCCATCTGGACACCATCCTGGGTAACTGGCTCTAGACGGCCCTGCTTGAGCCAAGAGTTGGATCACATGACCTCCAGAGATATCTTACAGCCTCAGCCATCCTGTGGTTCTGTGAAAAGAACAGCTATCACCTCATTTCATAGCTTGCTTTGTTAATATTCCTACTCATTAGCTTCAGACACTTTTCTTGAGACAATAAAGTACTGTACTCAAGAAATACTGGTTTTGATGCTTTCCCCCCACACAGGGGACAAGAATGAGACTTTGTTCTTAAGAAGAGAATAAACTGAAATTCTTATGAATATTTCTGAAGGCCTTCATTTTAGCATGCATCTGTAACTGCAGAAAATACAAAGCCTAGCTGGCTGGAAATAAAATCTCTCTTGAACAGCAGAGATTCCACTTCTCACCTAAGCTTCATCAACTCAACATGGACAGCAAAACACTCACATGCAATGCGGACGTAGGCTTTCCGGCTCTTGGTGGTGCCTGCAGAGCTCCAGGCAACACACTGGCACCAGTAATCCTCGGGCCCGAAGAGCTCCTCGACTTGCTGGCGGGAAATCTCGATGCTCACCTCTCGGACAATCAGACCTGTCGGGGTACAAGTAACACTGGTCAGTATTAGGCTAACAGGTAGAAAGAAAAAAGCGCGGGTACAGAAGTCTGCTTGCAAAGTTGTCGGGAGACCTTACAGCTCTCTACAAATATCTTCTCAGCAACACACACTGTCATAAGGATGTGAAGGGAAAAAACCTCCCACTTTATCTGCATAATAAGAGATGTGGGTGAATTAGCACCTCAGCTAATATAAATTGTACCATGTCTCTAGGAGAATTAACATCAAGTGACAATGCAGATCAGTTTTACTTTGATATGAATATCATATAACCACAGAGTCATTCAATTTATACGACTTCCTTAGCCCTTCTGTATTTCATCTCCTTTCGCTAGACAGACACAGCACAGGGAAAAGTCCTGACGTTGAATTGCCCAGGCAAAAGGATTTTACCATGGCTGAAAATGTCATGATATGTACAAAGATACTTTGTAATCATGAGCACATGTGCTGCAGTGTGGTTATTGTAAGCTGCAGGATGGGCACTACTACTGTCATATATGCTACAGATACTGCAATATTTTTAAGGGATTTTATACCACAATGAAACCCATTTCAGTGCCTCACAGTCTTCCTGGCCCTGGCCTCCATAATGCATCTCAGCACAACCCCCCACCATACCCACAGCTGCACCCACAACGACAGTGACCCACTTGCTATCCTTCCAAGTAGACCACATCTGCCCACATTTCCCACACAACGCTCTCTCTCTGGAAGCTGTTTTGCTTCTTCTAAGTGCAAGGAAATTTTGTGGTGTCTCAGACACCACTGCAAGGATTGCTGGTAAAATGTGTTGATCCTCTAATGACAACCACTGTGTTTCATACTGACACAACTTTCTCTGCCTCAAAATGCACTGCCTGGTCAAAAGGCTCTTAATTCCAGTCAAGACACTGGGTGGGGGTGGGAGAAAGTGCTTACACCTCTTGTCAGTATATTTCATCTTTGTTGGCCATGCCAAGGTATCAACAAACTTCTAATGTGTCTGCCTGTAGAGAACACCATCGCCATTTCAAAAATGCACTCTCGCAAAGAGCTCTGAATATATAAATTCACATACAAATGTTTTGTGTAGTGGGTCTGATTTTTTTTTCCTTCCAGAATTGCCAGGAAACTCAACTGAAATATCCTTGGATCAGAGTATGCACAGTTTGTCCCCATCACCAAACACCAAAGGGCAGGTCCTTCTGCTGAGCACAGACTTGAGCCTGTGGAGGCCAGCTACCCTCAGCCTTCTCTGCCTCACGGCTTACAAGGGGATATTCATAACGTGAATGTTCCCAATTGTACTGCATGGCGTGTTCCTCAAGCTCTGGAAACCAGGCCAGCCCTTTGATTTGCCTCCAGCCTCACAGAGGCTCCATTCAGGGAGCCAACGATTAATTACTGTTTGCACACAGTTGTGCACTGTCATTGAGGCTGCATGCTGTTTGCATCCCAAACTTGGTTAACAACTTAACGGCAGAAAGGAATTAATGCATGCAATACCATAGACTTCTCTGGTGGGAATGCCATCTAATGAGATGCATTTTCCTGTTAGAGACTATCACAGCCCAGCTCCCTTTTTATTTCATTATCCTTGACATCTTTAGCCATTGAATAATCAGCTACTTTGGGGGAAACACTTAATAGCTCTTCTTCTTGAAATGAAATACTTAAAATATGGCAACAGCACTCCAAAGAATGGAAATCAAAGGAGTGCATGGGCATTTGATATGCAGTGAACACTGTGTTATAAACTTGTTCTGCTTTGATGAGCTAATTTGGCTCCAAAAGGGGTCTGAGGGATAGCTTTTGTCCTGGTGAAAAGAGCATGAAGAGGGTGGGGAGGGAACATGTACATTACATGCATAAAAATTGTTATATTTTCCCAGTGGAACTGCTGTTAGCCTAAAGATTACTTCAGTTCATTCCCAGTTTTTATTGCACTAGCACAGGGAGCCTTTGAAGGTTACAATATTATGTTTTTATAATAAGGCTGATTATGACAGAGCTTGATGGAGCTGTGAACTTTGCTACCCAAGGGCTAAAACAAGCAGACTCATAATGACCATACTGGTTAATAATGATTATGATATAGTCTTAACATTCAGGATACAAATGCTGTTTTCTGATAGTCTGTGGAAGATACAAAACTACACAATATATAGCTCCCTCTGAAAGCACCAGCAGAACTTTTTCTCTCTGACTTCCTGAGATGCTTTCTAATTCAAAATAACATGCTACTCCAGCTAATGTCTTCTGGGACAGCTGTGAAGTACTAACAGGTTTCAGGTTATTCAAAGTAATTTGGTCTCTGAGTAAAATCAACAGTTGTGTCACGACCAAAGAGACCACCTCTTTCTGCTTACAAGCAAAAGATATCATTTTGTCTTTATCTCTAAGGTAAACTATTTTTCCTTGAGTTCAAAACGCATCAAATCAGTTGGTGGTGCCACAAGATCATCTGGGATGTAAGGATTCACAGCCAGAACTCGAAGCTGCTTCCACCACTCCTTCCCACCACTGCCCACTGGCACCTCATCGCACAAACAGCCACACTGATTTAGGAGAAACCTCTCACCAGTTGAAATGCACCCAGCTTCAGACTCTGGGGCAAGCACAAAGAGATGCATTTCCTCTGTTTGAACCAACTTATCCCTTCTGCTAACACACTTCAACATCACCCTTAACAGAAAATCTCTTTCTAGGCCAGATTACAAAACCTGCAATTTGCTGAGATTCCTCAGATAGCAACTGCCTTGTTACCAGCTGACATGGTGCTATACATCAGATTTCAGAGGAGCGGCATACTCTGTCTGCTTTCATTCAGGAATGTATTGCTTATCTATCTCACATGGGCACCAAGTACAGGAAAACCCTGGTTTCATCTTATGGCTGTTGAACCTGCTTCTGCCTCTACATCAAAGAACACAGGCTGGAGTAATGAGAAAAAAAAAATAAAAAAAAAAGCTGAACAACCCACGTCTCAATATTTCCAGACAATGTGACATGCTGCACCTGTCATTCAGGCAACTGCTTATCAAATTGTTGGATTATAGGTGCACAACCTCTGAGAGCAAAATTAGACTCACTTTATAAAATGAGTCCCTATATTTTGATCAAATATATTTTAAGACAAGACATATTAAGAGATAAGCAATAATTTATGCAGGATATAGCCCGCCTGGTACTGGCCAATTCTACTTTGCCACTGTGCTAAGTAACAAAATGTCACCTTCTCACAGAGAGTATATCCTCTATCTTACCTTCTTTATTAGAAATATATTTTTCAGACTAGTTCCTCATATGGCTAGGCTATACAGCAGGTGAAGATATGCAGCACATTTTTTTTTTTTAACACTTGAGTGAGCTGCATATTTCCAGAATTACAAAAATCACATAGATAATGGAACAACCCCCACAAAGTCAGGATCTTCCTGTTTTAAAGCAATGCAACAACAAACACAGCTGAAGGGAAATAACAATAATGTGGGCAGCTGGAATGCTTAACAGGTTCCTTCTAATTTGTCTAAATCCATAAAGAGCTGACCAAAGGGATATCCCATACCATATGATTACATGCTCAGCATACAAAGCTGGGAGAAGAAGAAGGAAGGTGGGGAATGTTTGGAGCAACGGCATTTGTCCTCCCAAATCACTGCTATGTGTGATGGAGCCCTGCTTTCCTGGGAACACCTGCCTGTCCATGGGAAGTGGTGAATAAATTCTTTCTTTTACTTTGCTTGCTTGTACAGTTTTTGGTTTACCTATTAAACTGCCTTTATCTCAACCCATGAGTTCTCTCACTTTTACCTGTCCAATCCTACTCCCCATCCCACCGGGGGGAGCGAGCGAGTGCCTGCGTGGGGCTCCGCTGCCAGCTGGGGCTAATGCACGACAACCAGCCAAAGATATACTTTTGACCTAATAGTTTTCTGTCCAGTTCAGGATGGAGGATAGTTTACAAGAAGGCTCACAATGTTTGTCATAATTGGTCTACAATTATGTCCCAGTCCAGTGAATTAAAAAGGTTCTCCATATGTCAAAATTTTTGCCTATTTAGTAGCACAGCTTATTCAATCTTTCATTTCAATAAAATAAATGTGTCTCTGGGACTAATACAACCTGGGCTCTGAAAAGAAGTAGGAAGGAACCAGAAATTTACTTATTTCTGTATTTGCATGTTAATGAGGGATCAATGGGCAGAGAGGCAGAGGGCGGAGGGAGCCTTGCTCCGTCTGTCTACTGCTGATGTGTGCAGCTGAACAAGCACAGCACTAGCTGACAGTATATATCAAAACCAAAATTACTACACCTTGTGGAGCAAAAGGAAGCATGAAAAGGGAGTTGTGCCTTAAATATGTGGTCTTTTACTATAAGCTGTATCCTAGAAACACAGTGAAGCAAAGACGCACTTCATACACACCGTCCCCAAGTGCTTAACATAGCTGGCTATACAAACTGTGAAGTAGATTATCTGCTCTTCAGAGGCACAAATGTTATCTTTTTTAATGTATGCAAATGTAATGTAATTGTAGATATTATGGCAGATTATTTGGTAACTGCAATAATAACTCATGGGTTCCATATTGCACTCACTGAAGTAACTGGCAAATTTCCCAATGATTTTAATAGAAACAGATTTGCCAATCAGACTCATTACTTCCTAGGGAAACAAAAATGTCTCATAAGGTTCTACGACCATATATGACTGCACAAGACAATAAATGATCACTATAAACATCAGAAAACAGAAAATTATTATCAATTAATCAAATGTTATTATCCAGCCCGGAGTCAGTCTAGGTCACACAGTTAATATCTACACCTCACTGGGCATCGTTCTGCCAAGAAACTGTTTTGATGTATTTTGGCTGCCCTAACTGTTCAGCATTTGATATTAATACCCAGGATGTGTGAAAATATTCCTCAGGACTTCGATAGAGCAATTTTGGTGAAAGTGTTATATTGGCATGTGTTTGAACCCGCTGGC